TCAAACTAATCATTCTATAGGTATATACTCATCCAAAGTTGGCATAGCTCTATAATGTAGAATTTTCATTGATTGAAACAGAGCTAGTGGACTTCCCGTTAATTAATGGGTAGTCACGTCCTCCTTGAAGTTCCGATTCCTAATATTCTCGTCGAAGCTCTTCATCCAATCGGCTTCACTTCTCATTGTCAAAGATGTAGTTGGAGCAGCTTTTGAAGCAAAGTAATATTATCTGCAACTTATTTGCCAGTAGCATCTTCAAAAATGCGCTTTGCTCCATTAAAATTATAAAGTTTTGGATCATTGGAAAATTATCGGTTAGATTAGCTCATAAAAGCTTTACCCTGTAACTTTCATCACCGAATTTCTGGGTTTCCAAAATTGATGAAAACAAGATGCAATGAAAAAACGTTGTGTACAAAATTGCGCATTCATTCGCGCCTTTTTTAGATTTCCTTTAACTATTTTTCTGTGGGCCGAAAGCTCCAGCACTTTAGCGAGCTAGGTAAGCTGTTCTAGGAGCTGGGATTTGGTGTATCGTTAGGTACTCGCTGTTAAAGGAACCAAGGGGCGTGGCTTAGAGTATACCACTGATGGCTGGGTACCTAACGCCCACACCTCGGCTGTGTACCTAACGCCCGCCCCCGCCGCGGGCAGGTGGCCATGCGAATTTTGAGCAAGCGGGCACCGGAAAAATAGTTCGTTGATTTCTTGCGGTCCGCTTGCAGAAATTGGAACAATTTTGGCTAGTTTTTAGATGAACGCTCGGAAAACTATCGCGGTCTTTCTACAAATAAGTTGCGGCCCAGTGGACGCATTCTCGCGGACTTTTCGCGAGAATATATGTATTGCTGCCCGCTGGCACTATATGCGGCAGCAAAGGAAGTTACGCCCGCTGAAGGTTTGGCCACCAAAATTCTGTTGACCGTTTGCAGAAAAGCGTGAGTTTGCGGGCCGCCTGCTCTCGAAGATTATGTGAGTAGGTGGCTGGGAGAGTAACCGAGATTGCTGAGCCAGAAACGGTTAAGCAAGAAAGTGGCACATGGTGGAAAGGAAAGGAGCAGAATGTTCCTTACAAGGGAAGCTTGTTTAGTCGAAATGACCTTTCTGAATGAGATGTATACCATATAAACGGGCATGAAACGTTGGATCCAAAATTGCCTACCATCATTCCTACGGTTATTTCTCATCAAGTACAAAACAGGTAAAACTTGAATTTATTCTATTTAGAAGCATGTCTTGGACCAAACGAAAGGCCTTTCGATGGATTCTACTTATAGTGGCATTTGTTACAATGCTTCAGTTCTCATATATTCGACGTATCTATGGTTGGGGTTCAGCCATAACGAGTGCACCACAAAAATTTGTGGGAAACCCCTTCAATGATGGTCGCCTTGGAAACCAGGTAACTATCGTTTATTGGTTTATATGTTCAGAACCTTGAGTCTCCCAAAGAATTTGACTTTGATGGGCATTTCTTTTGCTACAGGGATAACCGATGTCAGGTGAAAGTTGCTTCTTATATTCATTATTTAATTAGTTGAAATTTGCCTAAGTGTAGAAAACAGAGCTTGCGAGGGTGGTAAAGTCAATGAAAAACTGTTGAGGGGAAGAACAGTTATCGTAATACAGTCCGTGTTCACGTGCTCGCTTTTTTGCGAAGCAACGAGCTTCGCGTCACAGCGCGCGTATGACTCGGGCATTCAAAATGCCTCATCGATTAAAGGATCATAAGCACAATCCTTGCGCTGCGCATGTGTAATCCCCATGCGAAATGGAGTACGTAGTTGACATTGACTGCAAACTCACTCGCTCTCCTAACTTTCAGATTGTCAGTACCATGACAAAGCTGATGCATGATTGAGTGCTCAAACACTGAAAGCACATTTTCCTAAAATCAATTTCTTTGCGCATAACTATAAACAAATTGAATCGTTTTCATCGCATAGATAAATATACAGGGTGTTCGTAAAGTATGTATACACTGTTTGATCGTTAATATCTTTCTTTCTAACAAGTCTATTGCCTTGCTTTGGGTACCGTTTTGTAAAGCTGGCTTCAACTTAGATTCACAGCATGAAGCGAATCACTGATCGCTTTTCATTACTGTAGGACTATGGTAGAAACTTGAAACATATGGTGTCAATGTGGAAAAAGCTGCAGTTAAAAAAAATTTCCAAAAAATGCGAAGACTTGTTTAATAGGGTTTTTATGGACCCTGAGTTCAATACTCAACTATTCACAAGAGTGCGAAGCTTTCTAAACGGTGTAACCGCACTTTTTAGGAACATTGAAAAAATGGCCGCTACCTTTTACCCGGGATAACTCTTCAATGAAGCATCATGATAAGTTGGAAACCTTACAATTAACACGTTTCGGACCGGTGCTGCACATGGTGCAGCACGCGCCTTTCAAGGATCTTTTTAGTGTTTGCAGGAGGTTTTTTGTCCAAGGTTATCAAATCAAAGGCCTAAGCTCCTCCTTTTCAAATGACTCTGTATGGCAGTGCCGCCGATATTTGTTTAGAAGATATGAAGAGAATTCGAACAACAATTGCAACGAAGTGCGGCAACGCGAACGACGCGTGCGACGTCGCAACTCCTCTTTGCTTCGAATTCAAAGAGAGAACCGTAGTTCCAATAATGATGTGTATCGTGTACAACATTGATACTTTTGGATACACTTAGAAACTGAGATCTTGTTCCTATCTTTCAGGAAAGCACAGAAGTTCTCCTTAGGCGACAAAATTCAAACACTTCGAATTTACTTAGAACTCTGGGTATGACTCATATCTGGCATGCTGATTACAGATGTAGCACACAGTGTACGAATTGAGGTCCCTTTGTTGGCTAACGGCTGAAAGTAGCCTCTTTTTCGCCGCGCGCGATTTCGCGCTCCGAAACGTGTTAAAATCAACAACTCTATTTAGCTTAGTGTAAAAGCTTTCAGGCTGTTTTATATCCTTTCTGAGAAAATATGGCCTTTCATGGTTCAAAACCCTCTTTGAAGTTTTTACCGTAATCCTACAGTAATGAAGAAAGATGGGTGACTCGTTCTATACTGCAAATCTAAGTTGAAGCCAGCTCTACAAAAGGTACCTGAAGCAATTTAAAAGACATGTTGGTAAGAAAAATATTAGCGACCAAACAGTGCATACATACTTTACTGATACCCTGTATAACATGATTTGGTTGGAACAGAAGGGCTAAGGGAAACAAAGTTCGGAGATTTGTGGAGAAATTATGTGGTTGAAGAGTGTGGCAAGCTTTTTATTGGAAGTTTAACGATATGGCTTCGAATTTGGTGTGTATATAAAAGCAGTATATTGTTTTTGTTTCAAAGGTGAATAAAAACAAGGTTAGACATACAACAAAATTATGTCAATGTAGAGTATGGTTAACTTTTTTCAGTTAGCGTGGCAGTTGCCACAGTAATGTCACCCTTAAGGTGGCAAGACTTTCACTTCATAGAACTTTCTAAAAATTTTTCGTAAAGCTTCATTCGATTCTAAACACGAAGTTTACTACATAACGTTTTGGTTTCAAAAATCCTCCTAACCTTTTTTAGATCCACTATGACGGTCTTTACGAAGAAAAGTGCGTTGCAATCGAACAACTTACGCAGCTGCGCGGTCATATAGGATCGTGAATTTTGAAAGTGGCAAGGGCAAAGGGGTTTTTCCACCGCCCATTTGCCGTCTTCGTGTCGGGTCCTGCAAAACGTTTTACATTACAGATACTTAAGCGCGATAAAAAAATTTATCTTCTTCACTAGACCTCAAAAGATGAGAGGATTAACAAACACCAAATAAACGTATGCTCTATCAATTGTTCACATCGCAAACTGCATAAATTTCGGGTGTTTGATGGACCCTTTTGAAAACTTCGAATGTTGATCACCATTGCTTTTTTTCGCGTCCAGATCCGCGCAGCTTAGACTAGCGTTTTTTTCAGTTTGACAGCTTGCTCCATAGTAAAATGACAAGAATATAAAGGCAATTGATTTTTTATGCTTATAGGCAGAAATCTTCGAGTATACATTAATTCTTCGAGTATACATTAATTCCGTTCTTTCCTGAACGACTCTTGTTCAATTGAATCAATGTACTGGAATGTAGGCAATAGTGCTTTCGATCCAAAAAACCGTTGCTGTTAGTGTTACATACATACAAGTTTTCGTGAAATTTCCTTTTCCTCACTTTCTCAAACCGTATTCCGAACAACAGTTTTCTAGTTGTTCCATCTGATCATCGGCTATGGGATTGCCAGAAAACTAAACAGAACTCAGTATCTTCCATTTGCGGGAGAACGAAAGCACGCCGAGAAGTACCTTACCTACTTACACAAAATTTTTCCGCGTTTGATTCAGACCTATGTTCTTCCTAAGGTAAGCTTTTCTAATGCTTTGAAGTCTCTTCTATTGGTAGTTTTGAGTATAGCGCTGACTTTTCAAATTGATGTTCAAGAGGCTTTAGACGCGAAGTGTGAAGTACGAATCTACTGCCATCAATGGGTTATTTTAAAAGTTCCTTTTTTATTTTATATTGGACACAATTAATGATCGTCTGATATTTGCTATGCAGAGTTGCATATTCATAGCTTAAAAGCTGAAACAGACTTCCTTAGCTCTTATCAATTTCTTGTCAGAAAGGCATCAAAGAAAGGAAGGTGAAATTTGGCGGATTCTGGTCCTACGATGATCCTTTGAGGTTTGCTGTAGTATTATTGCACCTAAAGAGCTTGAAGGCCTACATTTTTTAGGCTGAAAAACTTCACCGATCAATATCTGCTGCTAACGCACTACTTTATGCGGAATCGCAGATATTTTGACGACTATCTCGAGGATGTACGCGAAATTCTACAATTCTCAGAAGAAGTGAAACGGAATGGGAGTAGTATACTTCGTTCTCTAAAAAAGTGCTGGTGATTCTCTACTTTACTTCGAGGATAATCTTTCTACAATCACTCAGTCATTCTCATGCATTATGCATACATGTACGCATGACGGACTTCGTTGCGCTAAAAAGGTCTACTGATATGAAATCCACAGTAAAAGCTGCGAATCAGCTTGCTATGAGGAAGGTATTATTCGTGCTGCATTACTGAATCATCAAATGCCCACTATTCTGCAGAACATATCGCATTTTATGATATTTGGAGATGATCAGAAATTCATGAACAAACTATCAGAAGCTATTATAAAGGAAGGTGGTTGGAAGAGTGATGTAAGTTTACACTTTTGTAATGATATTTGAGAGACATTATCTTCTGTATTTTAGGCTGTGGCTATTTCTAAATATGACGAATCCATGGACTTGTATTTGGCATCAATGATATGCAGCTCATTTCTGATTACCGCCGCTCGCTCAACTTTTGCTTTTTGGCTTGCCTTTTTCGTTCAAAATCAAAACGCGGTATACTATCTGAATGTGCCTACAAAGGATTTGGTAATGTGAGTTTGTTCTAACTAAATAAGCCAGTAACATGACTTCAAAACAAGCAAGGCGAGTGCAGGATCCAGATTCAAGAGTTCTATCCGGCCATCAGCTTTTGTCTTTCTCCGTTCTATGAAATGGAAAGAGGCAAAAGAAAAAATGTTGACCTGTTACGACTTCATATTCGTCTAAACGATCTCTCTTTCCCTAAAAAAGTTTTTGCGGACTGGACTTGAGCTGATTCAGTGGGATGTTTGCCTGTTTTTGTTTTTTTGTTGCTAGTTGTTCAGTGTGATGCTTTGTTTCTGTGTTAAATGGGCAGCCTTGTGCGTATTAAATAAAAAAATAAATGTTAGGCGCGACGCAAGAATCTCGTGTAGACGTTGTCCTCCGGCTTGCAGAAGTTTGATGGAAAAGTGGTCTGGTTTCTTGAGCAGTGATCTAGCGCACTTCAGCAGTCAGAATTCGTGATGATACTTCTCCAGTGTGAATAACGGACATCGGTACGGGTGTAGAAGTTTTTCGCGATGGATATTATTTTATAACGGAAAGAAGTGGGGTTTCGTCTTCGTTCAACAGTCAGCGGCACGTGATATTGGCAGAGGTCCCTTCGGTACTTCTCAAGACTCCGACTTCCTTCGGCTGCTTCCAATATGTTGGCTTGCCTGTAATTCCTGAGATCCTCCTGCAAAGCTGTTCTGCAATGGCGTTGGAGTCACTCGAGATGGGTTACCCTTGGATTTTGCCTCAGGCTTAGTGGTCTTCGAAATGTTTCAAAAATCTTTTCGAAAGTCACTGACCCGCACTCTCCGCAGGCTCGCAATCCTTTAAGAAGCCGGTCATTCGTACGTTGGGTCCTCCTCGATGGGCCGGTCACAACTTGATATGACCTCTTTCAGCCTGTTACCGTCACAAACGACATTCCTTACCTCTTGCAGCCCTGTGGCAAGTCTTCATTTCCAGCTTTTGATTGGATTACCTTCGCTCGAAGGAGGCGTTGCTCTAAGCCACTGCTGAAGGATGGAACTACTGAGACATCGAGCGAGCTCCACCTTCGATTGGTGAGGTACGTGGCAGATCTCCGCGTGAGGCACTGTTGGCGATTATCTCCACCGGCGATGTTCTTTCTTCATGAAAATGGAAGTTTTATGGAAAAGTCATGGTGGAGAGAAGCTTAACGACACGGTTGCTGTTTTCGTTCCGAAGCCCACAACCTAACTTCCCGATCCTATATTCCTCTTCTAATGGCATTTCTATTTTCGCGTTGGGGTCGGCCACAACAAATTGTGAAAGAGCTTCTCATTGCGTATGATCTCCTCCACGTCTTCGTGAAAAGCATCTAGTTCCTATTCGCCAGCTGGTGATGTTAAGGGCAGGACATATTTCACCCGATTTTAATCGCGACGCGATTTGGCAATTTGCCAGAAGTTTTCAGATCCAACACTGGCAAACTGCACATGCATAATGTGTATAACTTACGCGGATTGATAAAATGCTTTATCTCTGTACATTCAAAATGTGCTTACAGTAAGTTATGGACACTTATATTGAATATTGCCAAATCGTGTCGCGACTGAAATCGCGTGAAGTATGCCCGGCCCTTTAAAAAGTAGCAGCTTTTGATGCTGATGGTCTTCTGACGTAGAAATCATAGTCGTAGGATGGCTAGTGGAGGTGATAGGATCTCATGCAATCGACAAGATGTACGATAGGGGTGGAAGACAAAGCCAACACTTACAGTGTTTCGCGGTAGAATTTTCTCATCGCGAATGATAAGGGTCTCATCACTCATCTGTTGCCCCTCCTTCTTCCTTGACTTGTTCCCTGAATAGCAATGACGTGGCACTTGATGTGCTCTGCAGCGGAGAGGAGCGTGTAGGTCGACGTTTGTAAAGACTGTCCTGGCGTTGTAGGTGCAAAGCATGGGGTAGTTTTCATGGCGTGTTGGCCGGGCAGACGTGTCGTTTTTGTCCTATCCGAAAGGCGCCCTGACCTGACATCGTTCTCGCTACCGCCCGGCGCCGTAGGCGGGATCTGATGTGCAGGGTTTTCTATTTCTTCTTGCTGAAGGAGTAACAGAAGTTTAGGAGTTATAGAAGTTTCCCCTTACAAAAGCAGACTTAGACAGAGGATCTAACCTGCTCTTAGCTAAACATCCGGCCAAAACCGAAAACGTCGAATTTCTTTATAGTTTGTGAGATTCTACCAAAGTATACACTGGTCTGCATCGCAGTTCGACACCCAGTGTCACCCCCACGCCACGTTAAGGCGGCCGATCGTTGTGAGGGGCTATAACAAGCAGAGATGCAAACTTGTAGACAGCGATCTTTGTATAGATCTGTGCACCACATTCAAAGACAAATTTTGATTTCGAGACGAAGTCGCCTTCTAAAAGATGAACGAATGGATGTAATTCAACGTTGAGGGAAACATCCATCATTGACTGAGGAGTTGAAATTAGACCTTCTTATGATGAGCTTACAGAGAAGCCCTAGCGTGCGAATCAAACACTATTTCCGTATTATCTGCTTCAAAAAGTTGTTATTAGAACTTCTCAAAGACTTCTAGGATACAAAGAGTGCCACACACTAATTTATCCTTAGTTTTTATATTATCCCTTTTTCCACCGTCACCTAAGATCCTAGGTCTAACAAGGAAACTTTGAATAGTTGGTTTCCCTCTACTCGTTGAGGATGATTCTTTTGCGCTCAAAATGAACTGAGTGTAGCTCCTTGTATTTACGGTGTTTATCAGCTTCCACCTAAAAGGAGGGATCAGTTGTTTTCCCGCGTGACAAAGACATTGCTGAAAAGAGTTAAAAATGAGACACGTGACGCATGTTCACACAAAATTGTACTACATCTGCAAGTTGCAAATTATCCTTAGATATCGAAGGTTGAGCAGCAAATCCGCCAGCACGATATCGCATGTGCATGTGAAGCCGCCCGAAAACCTCGCCCTACTTGCAAAAACTCATTAGGAATGATGGAAAGCGTCAGCATTATCATAGACACGTTTATGGAAAGTAAAGGAAACGGAAACGAGGTGAAATAACGCTGACTAAGGACTCACTTGAAACACTATGTTATCGAATGCAAAAATCATAATGTGTTTGATAAGACTACATGCGCTTTCTCTTTAGAGCTGCAGCTCTGTAGCAGACGGCATAACGAAGCAGTAGTTCATTGCGTTGGCACAATGGGGGCAGATGCTAGTTGCGTAAACCTAGTGGGGACAGAGAACTAACATGTAGAAATGAGACGGGGACAGGATTATGCTGTGCAAAAATAGCAATGGTGACCTCTATGGAAGTGCATTGACAGGGCTGGACGGAACCGGGCATGTCAGCTAGTAGGTAATGAAAGTTACTCAAGACAAATGCTACGCCTACGTTCATCGATTTTTTTTTCAGGAAACTTTTCAAGGAAATAAATAAAAAGCGCTAAAAGTCCGAGCACAGAACATTTTATTCATTTGTTTGCGTATATCCAGCTTAAATAAAATTTGACTTTTTACTTGAGGAAGACATGGCAAAAGTACTCCGTCAAGTAAGGAGTTATGGCTACAATTTCCACAATGGTCAAATGTTGCACGGCAGCAAGTTTTCATCGATGGTGGAGAATTGGTAGCACCTATGATTATCTGAAAGAACCCATAGAAAATAGAGCCCATGCTAAAAATTTCATTCCTTTCTTCTGCTATTTCTACTCTCTCGCACCAACATGAGTTATTCAAATTCCATATAGTGCACAGCGCAGAATTTCTGAATGAAAGTCGCAAAATCCTTAAATATCGTCTACCACATAGCAAGCAAGAAAGTGGTTAATCTCAACTTTTGATCAATTAAAATTACGATTACGAAAGTTGCGCGTTTGATTTTTTTAAAGCTTGGCGTACTCTCTCTCCGAGCCAAGTCATTCCAAAAATTCTTAAAGGGTGTGACTGTTTCGTCTTTCGGTTGCATGTTCTGTTGTGTCCCTTGCCACTCCTTAAATGCTTCCTTCCTCACTGACCTCAAGTATACCGAACATAGCAATTCCTATGAGTCTTTATTCTGTAACATAATAGGTGCCGATCGCAATCTGTGTATAATTAACCACCAGTAAGCCACCATGCTAGGCATGCTGTTAACCATATGTAGTACATGTTCGTTATTGATAGGCCAGACTAGAATGTAGCAAGTGTATTTCAGAATTTGAGTGTATCTCTGTTGTTAGTATTTTCTTCAAGCATTTTGTTCCCTGCTATTTTTATATGTCTTCACTGTATCTTATGACGAAAATTCGGATTATGGGTAATAAATATGTAAACCATATTGTTTCTTTTTTCCCCAGCTAGTCTCGCATATCAGCTTTTTCGCACACAACGCGGTTCGATGTTGTCAAAATTTGTTTCAAAAATTTTCTACAAAAAAACGTGACTTTAGCTTAAGAATAAGGCATTTATAAGCGAGTGGCAGCTGCTAGAAAGCCTGATAGAGAGGAGAAATAGTCGTGGAGACCTACCGGTATCAAGCATTGCTGCTACGGCAATTCTCATCGTTAATTCGATTCTAGATTACTAGATCTAAACAGGAGGTAGCAACAGAGAGGTCTAAATATAAAATTCCTTTCAAATTCGTGAAAGACTACGACATGCTCTATGAGGTGGTCATGCAGAGGGAAACGGAGTTAAGAAAGAAAAACGTTAAAATCTCATTAAACACAAGGAATAGTGTTATTGAATTTTTGTGACGGTATGTTGTCTTTGAGGCAGTACTACACCTAGAAGAATTGCATCATCATTCACTTTTGGAGGGTTGCAACTGACAAAGTACCCTATTTTCAGGTGTATAAGCCGCACTTTTTCAAATTTTCGCTCAAGCTGCTCAACCGCTTCATTGCGTTTGACGAAGCGATCCTTATGCGCGCGATTCTTTCGGGCAATGCGCAGCACGGTATAGGGTTTTCTGGATGCGAGGTCCATTGATGTGTTCGGGCTGGTCGATGTAAGCTAGGACCACTCCGCCGCTTATACACCTG